GTATACACATTTGGGGTTATGATTTTTTAACTTTTAACTGATTAACCTGCTCAGTATTTTCATTATTTTCTATTTTCATAACCCCCAGGTTGTAACAATACAATTTATTCACTTTATCAGCACAAAATAAGTCACCTCGGTCACTTAGGTGTCTATAACAAAAAAAGAAGCTGCTGGGATGTGGAGGATAGGTACATCAATATCCAGGTCTGACAGACACTATGAAACAATAGACAATCTCATGTCTACGGTCAGGATACATTCAGACGTGTTCAACTCATGATCAAGAGCAGCCATAAATCACAACACCTATACGAGACTGATGCATCCAATGGCATCTCTGGGACTGACATTGTCCTGCAACACAAACTGCCACACTGCCAACCAGATGTCACTGGATGAACTCGGATTGAATCCTGTAAAATAAAATAGAGGCTCCAGGATGCAAACATCAGTGCCTGCAATACACACATCGGCCTGGTGCAGAAAAACTAGCACTGGCAACAGAAACTGGCTAAACTGAAAAGTATCACAGATGCAAAGAGAGGTACCTTCAAAATTGTGGTGCACAAGTGGAAGTTTGATAGTATAAGCTGCAATATGGGAAGGATCCAGTTTACAGTGTCAGTTCATGGCTCAGTGACTGTGTGATGCCAAAGTTCATACCAATCCCACTCTGCCTTGGGTTGGGGTGGGTTGGCACTGGACTGGAATAGGGCATCACAGGGACCCACACCCATGTACGCTGACTGAGCTGTGCCAGGACGTCTCACCAAGGAGCAGCTGAGTCCTCATAGAGGAACAAACTTATCATGTCAATGCCAAGGCAGGTGTGAGCACTGCTAACAGCAAATAGAGGACACGTGATACTGAACTGATGCTTTGAAAGAATATGGACCTTTGGTATTAAATTGCCTTTAGTGTTCAACCCAGTGCCAGATCAATGAGGCATGAGTGCCCCAGATTCACATGCTGAGCATCTTTTTAATCATATGGCATAAATCAATCCACCTTGCTTAGTAAAATCTGAATCTTATTCACTGCGCTTTGAGCACCTCTCAGTATGTGTTAAATACAGGAATCCTAATCCATAAGAAAAACATTTTTCACCTAGTACACAGCCATTATAAACAAAATCAAAAATGTCTACACAACAAACTTAAATAGGACACATAAATCCAAAGTCAGACATCAGAAAGCTTTCATTTGCACCAATACTCTAGCTTCACTCAGTGTCTCTCAACGCCCATTTTAGGTGTTCTAGTTGTGTTTGAAGAGTAGGAGCCGCAAGAGTATTTGAATGTACTGTATTTCTGAAATTCATACTTAAGGGAATGATTAGTTTCCTTACAAATATGCAAGCCTTATTATATTTTCATGTTTTGCAGCACAGTGCTTAAAAATGAGGTTCTGCTAAATGTCTGTAGCTTTGCTATTAAATATTCACCAAATGCATTAGAAAGACAGCAAATTATAAATATCTAACACATTCAAAATAATAATAACCTTTAATTCTGTCAAATTATTAAACTCTGCAATGAGAGTGTTGCTTAACTTTTATTCTTAGTTGCTTAACTTGCAGAGAAATATTCAGTATATTTACATAAAATCTAATTCCTCTTTAAAAAAAGCATCTCATATCTAGTAAGTAAAAAAAATGACTGAATATGAAAACTAATTTAACTTACAGTATGGATATGTTACATTATGCAGCAATTTGATAAAATCTTGGTCTTTCACGTCCTACAAATTTAAAACCAACATTCATGTATATAAAAATAGAAATAATCAGAAACATCCGTTACTCATTTCATATTCAGACATTTCCAAATACTCTAAAAATAAAAAGTCGCGCTCGTTTTGTTACGACCAAAATGGCATAAGCAAAATGTCTATGACGATTGAGAAACTCTATCACAGATATTTCATAACTTCAAATCACAGACTGCACTCAATTTTCAAATGTGTATCAATTTACTTTGCAACAGATCGCCTTGCATGTAAAATAAAAAAGCTTTCTCCTAGAGAATAGATTCATTCTGAGAAAAGTTTATTTTAACTTTTACTGTAACCTTACTTATATACCCATCCCACACAGTGAAAATGTATCAGAATGCAAACACTAAAAATGTTATTTCAGTTCTGTAAATAAAAGCAGCTGCCAAAAAAATTGTCAGAAAGGAGGATGAACATTACATTGAGATAAGGACATTTAAGGAATTTTCAAATGGTTTCATAGCAAAATATCATCTGTCCTTTCAACAGACTTTACACTTCAATTGACAGGTATATCTCATACTTCTTAATTTAATTGATGCTTTAATTACCTTAAGGTTTTAACATTGAGGTTTCTTTAAGAAGTATTGCTTTGGTTATTAATCATTGGGAGAGTACTGAAGCCAGTTAATTAAATAATCTTCAAAGCATTCAAAATATTAAAACAATCTTATTCTTTATGGTTAAAGCAAAACACTAAGAGAAGGTAATGCCACCCTTTGAGATCAGTGTTCACTGGAATGTGATTTGTAAACACAGATATGTTTTCTTACTATTGCTTCCTTCCTCTGTATTTTATCTAACCAGCCTCATTGTTTACAAAGAGAAGCTACAAATTTGCATTAATAGCTAAACTAAAGTACAACAGGTTTGAAATAATCTTATGTCTCCATATACTGTATTATTGCATTAGGTAACAACAATAAAAAAACACAATTACCCACAATAATTAAACTCCAATGAGCCTTACCATATTTTGATAAGACCAAATAAAGACAATCGACTGTATGCTAAGCAGATTTTACTAAATGAGTAATTAATTCCCTGAATGTTTTTAAAGCCTACAAGTATTATCATCATTATTGAGCCAAAACATCTAAGATGAAATCCAAGCAAGTGTTCACGCTGCCTAAATCAAGTATCAATACAAATACTAAACTGGATGGAAATGAATTGCAGACTGCTTACTACGTTTTCATCAACAGTCATTCATTCATCTGGCTAGCTAAACCAATATCACAATTTACAGAGCTACAGTATTATAAACCAAATATTGAAATTAAGCAAAATAATTTCCAATATCTTATAAAAGTGTTCTGGTGCTGAGTGACGTTTGTCTACACAGGTTTCCCTTCAGAAGATAGTGCATGCATGCTTCTCTTGAGGTAGCAGTAAAAAGGTGCAACGGGGAAGCAATCAGGGGCTATTTTGCTTTCGAACCTCAGCCAGCCAGCTTGGGTCACATTCTTTAGAACCACAGCCTTCTTTTCAGGACATGTTTGGAAAAACAATCCTTGCACTCAGTTCCAGGTAGAAATGTGAGCACAGTTCTCAGTGTAAAAACAGAGAGCAGGATGCAACTCAGATACACTCAAACCTCCCCCCCCACAATGTCATTTCTTCAACACATTCCCCACTTCTTCGAAAACACACCAAGATGAAAAGAGTCCTCACTGACAATTTACAACTTTGAAGAACCGAAAATGAAGAATTTCACGTTAATATCTCAACTGAAAACACTACAGAAATGTCTTTTGGCAAACCAGTTGAATGCTTGTTTTTTTCTAGGTTTATAATTCAAGAGCTTTATTGAGGAGTTTTTGAAGTGTTTCCACAAGGGATCCGTTTCTAAAAAGATGCTTCTGTTCCGCAGACATGTCAAAGAGAAATCTTTCCTCTTGCGAATGAGCTTGAAACATGGCAGATGGGGGACTCCAGACAATGACAGTCAAAAGTAATTAAAGCACAGTAATCACAAGGCAACATGCATTTCAAGAAAAGCAACAAAGTGTGTTGGAAGAATCTGGATTTTGTGAGCAGGAGCTGAAAACTGTATAGCCTTAAACGCAGTAAAGGATAAAACATTGAACTCTTGGGGAAAAAAAATGTAAACCTAATCCAGACCTACAACTTGCAACTAATAAAAACAAAATTAATAAATTTCAATTAAGACTATTACATGAACTATACAAACATTATCACAGAACGTTGCAGAAGTTGAAGTGCCGGCTTCGAATGAATGTTTAGAATGAATTTTATGAAAAAACATAAAATTAATTTAAAAACGGTGCATCAGAACAACTACTCTTTCATCCGAAAGTTTTATCTCCACCTGCAAACTGACTGAATCCATAAGAGTGAAATGCTGCTGTGGTCTTATACCCACTATAAATATTTTACCAAATGCCACCACCTGCAGGCATGGGAGAGTAAAGAAACACAATTTAAGCAGAGGCAGGGCTCTGTACTCTGTAATCTGTACTTGCTGTGGTTCCAAGTATCCACTGTGGAAACTGCTATTGTTCACAACAAGACACTTCACACCAATTGCGATCCACTTGTATAGACTGGGAGCCAGCACTGATGGAGGTCACTCCATGATGGACTGAATTCCCATCCAAAAGAACTGACTCCTGGATGCTAGGATGTAGAGCTGTATATTTTTCTGATAACTGCATATTTGTACAATAAAGGAATGACTGGATACATTTTATGTTTAGAAAATTAGCAGTTTTCTATACCATGATTAACACTTTGCTAAAATCCAGGAGAGTTAAAAGTCATACTTTTATAAATAAACATGGGAATTCAAAATCAAGAATTGTAGTATCTATTATGGTAAATTAATCCAGAAAATATTTTTCACTTTGCATTTAAAAATAAAATAGCAAAATCAGGAACTGATGAACAAATGTATTGATTTAATATCTGTTGATTTAATACAAACTTTTAACACGTTTTTCATTGCAGCACTATTTTCAGCAGTGAGGTCAAAGTTTCTAATACTGAGAGATTAGTTTATTTTGATCAACTGTTAAAAAAAGACCTCTCATTTTATTCATGTTCTTTTCAATTATTAAAAATATAGGTAAAAGCACACTATTATAATCTAAAACTGAAGTACAATGAGCAAGGTATTATGTGAAACAACTCAGGAAACTTTGAAAATATTTAGCAAATTCAAATCCTCAGGGAAATTCGAAAGTAAGAAAGCACCCACTCACCTAATGTCACTGAAGCTTCACAATGGTAATATCCATCTGTAGTCTTTTTCTTCAGCATTGAGCAAAGATCTAGTCGTGATAAGGACTCCTCTCCGAACCTGTGCCGTTCAAAGTGCTCATAAAGTTTCGCATCCAGCTTCTTTACTCCCTGGAAAATAGGAGTCATTTATATTTTCGTCATATACCTTCTAGGATAAAAAAACTTAAGAATTTAAAGTATTTCATGCATAGCATAAAATCAATTTAAATCCAACCTATTTTGGTTAAAAACCACAATTAAATGAATTGCAGTCAAGCTTCTGAAAAAATTACAATTAAACAAAACCAAATATTGAGTCTATATTTGGGTTTTCCCACTTTCAACCCTAGTTTTCAAAATCTAATGTGGATTTCACACCAGCACTACAACCCCTTACCGATAGCGACACCGGTGAAAATCTCTTTTAATAGGGTGTAGGGCCACCACATACACTCTACCACACCTGGGGTTCAGTAAGAGTGATGCAGCCCAGCTCAGACCTGGTGAATAGAGTCTTTTCAGAATACTCCGTAAATTCCTGAAAGGGTTCAGATTTTTACTGGTACTGTACATGAGCATGTGAAATGTGCGTCTAGACCGAGAAGCTATGTGAAAAGCTGTGTTAACTCCCTAATGTCTTGTTATCGGAGCATACACATAAATAATAAGTATTACATTGCACTTGTGCATATAAAAAAAACAACCTGAACTGAAACGTTCTGTTTGAGGTTTGCATTTGATAATATTGGAGCTGGTGTAATAATAAGTGGGAAAATAAGTCATGACACAAGAATGAGAGAGTTGGGTAGACAACTTTAAAAATGAAGAATTCACTAAAATAGGACTTTTTGCAGTGGCGATTGGGAAAATAGTTACACCTCCTCGGCACGTCAGAACCCCAACTCGTGCCAAACGTAAAGAGGAAGAACTGTAGTGGAAAGTACGTTACTGCCATGCAAATTCTGTATTACCAGCATAACAGACTAAGCGAAAATGATCGTAAACTAGTGAACTCAACACAGTCATATGCAAAAACATAGTAATTTATTCATCCCAGCTAAACAGAAGCTTATATATACTTATTAAATACTTCTAGTATTGTATACGAGTATTAATACAATGGAATGAAGATGAAAATGGTAAACATTTTGTAATTATACTGGCAAATAACTCCAAGTATAAAGAATTCTGCTATATTATTTTTTCGGCAATGATATCAGAACCCTGAGGGAAAAAAAATGTAAATGATCATCCCAACACTTTCCACTGGTGTTGTTAACCCAATTTACAGCAGCATAATAAATTGTGCTTACCTGGAACACCATCAAAAACTGTCAAAGTGTAACCGTACATATATACAAAATGAAGACTTTCGCTTTTGTTGTGAGGTAATGTCACACTGTAAAAAATATGCATGCTGTGAAATTTATTTCGGTATAACGGGATTATGATTGCAGAAACTATTTATTAGACTAAGAATGAATTTATATTCTGTGAATGCAAGCTCTCAAAGCAACAGAAACGGCGAAGAAGAAAGGGAGGAAGAATCAGAAGAACAAGATGCTGTAAAAACCCTCTAACAACAGCAAAGCCTGATGCTGACAGCTAGCAGGCACCTCCAACACACCATCAAGACAGCACTGCAAAACACTTGTTTTGATATTAAAGACATGACATATTCTAAATGATCTTTTGTGTGCTTGCTCTTAAGCTTATATAAATCCCTCCCCTGATGATGCCCCAACAGCACTTCAGTTGTGTTACTCGACTGGCATGAGCGTACTCCATGGTTTGAGGCCTCCATGAATCCCTCTCAAAAGCTGCTTCTGCGACTTGACAAGGCAATATAGCCCCACAGAAGCTCTCCTCTGACGTCTCCAGGAAAATGAATTGCACGGAGCTTTCAGTTTCAACTCACAGCTAGAATCACCAACCTCGCAATGGCAGCTTTTTTAATGATTATCTTCATGCACACCTCTTTACTGCATCCCTTACAGCTGTCGAGCTCTTAAATTCTTACTGCCTTGAAATTAACTTATAGCGTTACTAAAATGAAGTTACAAACCTAAACGATTTAACAGGCAGCTGTTTCCTGCTTTGCCACTCTTAGATGCACTCGGGAGAAGCAGCTGACACTGCTTTGAAAGTAATTCCACCCCTTCTACCCATCAGTTAGCAGAAAGCTGATTATTCCTACAAAGGGCTGCATCAACCCAGAACCTATCCCAGAAGCACACAGCACAAGGCAGGACTATAAGCATGTACTGTATAAGCAATTCATCCAAAAAACAGTGATGAAACCCTTCACCCCCATGCATAGACTCTTGCTCTATCAGCAATGATAATTAGGCATTTTGTGACTTGACTGACTCATAATGTTTGGTACTGTGATTTCCATTCTCTCCATATTTCCTGAACCAGACCTAATCATAAACGCCGCACACAAAAAAGGGCTAATTTGCAAGTACCACACACAGTGACTTTTCCAAATCCTGCTATCCAGTATTTCAGAACTCTGGTCTTGTCTCTCCTTTGTTTATGTTTAATAAAATCCATGAGCTGCACAAAACTAAACTGGTTCACCTCAGTTTCATAGCAAGTACAGAATCATCTTACCGAAAAAATGTTGTTTTTTCAATCAGTCCCTCAAGAAAAAGGATTATGATCAGGAGGCTGGATCAGAAACATACAGAATGGCTTCACACTGCACCTCTTTATAAACTTGTCTGTTTGTGTGTAATACGAAAGATGATCTCACCTGATGGCGTAGCTTTGGAGACCTTGAGAGCTTCATGAAGGTCAGGTGTGGCTTGAAAGCCCTACTGTCTCCAGCCAAAATGCCCTTTCCTTCAAACGCCTTCCTCACTGCCTCTGCGGCGAGAAGAATGCAGAGACAGGGGATGATAACCAGATACCCAGCGTCATTTTGTGCTTTGCGCTGCAATAACAGCGAAACTCCATTTGCTCCATGTAAAAGAAGAAGATAATCAATAGCCTGAGGAAAGGCAGGCAGGGAGAGGCGGCTCTAATGCGGGGCAGAGTACCATCTGACAACATTAACAGGCAGACAGAGCATCACACTGGCAGGATATACAGTAGGGATGCTTCATTTCACATTCACCGGCATGAGGCCACCGCGAATTCCTTTGCTAAATTTACGACATGACATAAAAAATTGTGTTAAAACCTAAATTGAGCACGTTGCCTCAGCTAATACATCTAAGAAACACTATGCCACATATTACAATGGAATGTTATCTTACTAAATTGGCTAACTTAAAAACAGTCATTTAAAATGGCCGCATATCCCATCTGTTTTAATCGGTGGGATTGTTTTAGAGTAAGCCTGATGGTGGACTTGAAAGACCATACAACGACGACTCCAAATGCAGAGTATGGGAGAAAGGATGAGGAAGACATCCCAGACAACTGAGGTCTCCTGAAGCATTACCAAAGGAGGAAATCGTTCTTTAAAATTCCGTCATTTAAAACACAACTCTTACTATAATATTAGGATTGGATTTAAGTCTAACAGATAAAGAGCTACTGTATCTGCTTTTTAACCTCCATTTGGCTTCCAAAGACATGAGAATGCAAACAGCTTGTCCTTAATTCATGATGGGAATCAACTGCAACATACGTTTTTCCAACGGTGCAGTTTGGCAATAAGATAAAACTAAGCAAAAGACTATAAAATATGAAGACTTTTTTCTTCGATAAGGGGACATTTGCAAGTAACATGCAGTGAGTTTTCAACATCCTGTAAGAAACTGCTTTCCTAACCTGGTCCTGTTCTGTTGTGCCTAAAGATGTGGCAAGTGTGATTTGTGGTTTGTCAATGCCCTCAATGATCCTGAATGTCTGAATCTCTATCCTTTTAATGGGTTATTTCTTTCTCAGAGTTTGTGATCTCCTTTACAAGTGCCAATCCAAGCATACGTGGGTTGTCTGGTACATTCATTCCCTGGGAACTCTTTGGATGATATTGGGTTGACAACTGTGAGATTCGAGGAGTTGTTGTTTTCATCTGTAGAAAGCACATTTCTGTTGACTGCCATGTAGTGTTGCACATAACTTTTTTTAAATATGAAATCATACTTCACTGTACACGCTTGGAGCCTAAGATATTATGATACTTGTGCAGTTTCACTATGTTACCACATTTGACCAAGTATCATATATACTGTTATACGATACTTATTATATAGTGAGGCTGAACCAAAATAATGCTTACAAGCAGACTGCTTATTATAATTTTAAGAACAACATCATCACAATCTTATTTCTTATTGCGTAATATGAACATGTGGGCTGAAGTGGGATCTTTCACAATCTACCACACTGGCAGAACATTTTAGATGATCTGGGGTAAAAAAATTCCACAAAACTACAAGTGATTTACTCAAATGCAGCGGTTTACCTACTCAGGGAACACAGACTTAGAAACATTTTTTTTAGTTCTAATTTATTACTTCTTCTTCGCGGTCTCAAATGGCACCAGAAAGAATAGTTGATCTTGGCACACCTGCAAGATCTCTTAGTGTCGTCACATGGTCTCCTTCTGCCAGCTGCACAAAAGCAACCTCACTTCGGAAGTGCCCGATCCCAGCGAAAGGCAGCACCAGCTCTTTGCCCTGAAGCAGGTCACGGAGCACATCCTTCAGCTCAGTCAGCGCACAAACTGCCCTGTTGGCAGAGGAACCAGAGTTATCTACACTTCTTCCAAATATGTCACAGATGGAAAACAACTCTATATATAATCACAGAAGAGCCTTTGAAAATATTTTGAAGAAAACAGGGGTGTAAATGAAGTTAGTTTAGAAAAACTCAAAACCTTTCACATTGACTACCACTGTGCAGCTGTGGCTATGAATTAGATTTAGCTTAATCGAGAAGATTTTGATACTGTAGGTGACGCGTTAACTGGAAAACTGCACAGCATAAACTATAGAAAGTGAAAATGTACCAGCTCTTTCTTGCAGCCAAAATTCTGTTTCTGATTCCTCATTAACAGAACTGCAAATGACTGTACTGTATTTGCACTATGACACACATCTACAACAAGGCAAAATTAAAGTTTCATTTGACATGCTTATTTCACTTTGTCTGAAACTTTAAAGATGCCTCACATATACTGGTACGTACGCGTTTACTTCTTCTTCAGTGCTTAAGTGGGTCACAAGCAGAGTAATGTGAAGACTGCCAACAGGAATCATTGCTTTAGACAGTCTGTGATCCTTCTGGACAATGATGTCCTGAACAGCTTCAATCCCCCCTTTTATCTGAAACGCACAACACTTCAAAGGTCAGATGCTTGAAGAATACTACATTATTTTATAACCTCTCATATAAGTACATTTTCTCAGTAGCAAAATAAATATGTACTGTAAAAAAAGTCAAGTGCCCTGAAATATTAAAAAAATGCAACTATAATATTTTCACCTACAAAATGAAAGCTGCCACTTTGCAGTTTTGAAACTGCATGAAAATGATATTGAAACAAAAAGAAAAGATACCTTATCATTTTATACACTTTAAATATTCGAAAAATGTTCATAAAACTTTCAAAGACTGATCGATGTGCTCAACAGTTCAAAAGAAAGAGGAAAAACTTGCTGACACAAGATAGAACAGATTAACTTTTACTTTTAATGCACTATCTATGCTGCAAACAAAAACAACTACAAATGCTTGATGCTTCAAAACCAAGCTCAGAGAGATCAGCAGGCGCTGCTTGTGTGTTTGAAACGTATCCACCTGTCAGCGGAATTGATTCATGTTTTAAACTGTTCCTTTGACAAACAGCAAGTATCACAGGAAATGCAACTCCACCACAACGACAATTTAGTTAGTTCTAAACGTAAACAAGAACAAATTCAATGTGAAACTGGTCACACTAGCTCAGGTGCATTTATAGAACAAAGAAGGCTATTTGCCATCAAATAGATATTTACTGTTTGTAATTTATTTCTCTAGGACTGTAAAAATATGCTGAACTCACTTTGATTTTCCCTCATCAACTACCAAAACACAGTCCATTAAGAACAGAACACAAATTGTCAAACATTATAAACCAGTCAGTTAATATGATTTAGAATGTTAAGAAAGAGAGTTGAACTTCAAGAATGAAGTACATGTAAGTCAGATAAATTCATAGCAGAAAGTCTCTGCAGTAAATGACCTTTCACCAAATCCAGGAACATATAGAAACAAAACAAACCCTGTTCAATCAATCAAAGGCAAGGGGATACACCCAACAAAGCTCACAGAGAAAAAAAATCTGAATTCCACTACAGTATATTCATATTTTAATTGCTTATATTGTGTTTTGTATCTACTGTCAGTGATTACATCATTTTTTTCTTTTAAGAAAGTTTTGCTAGCTTTCAAAACTAGCTGTCTGTGCATTTCCTTGTTTTAGGGGTTTGCAAGTCATATACAAAACAAAATGCAGACATATTGACCTGTTCTTGTGTAATTCCACAAATAATTAAGTATCCAAAGTAACCAAAGCTAAAAGCCTACAATCACCCAGTTGTACTGACAAAAACCAATCCTTAAACCTATGTTACCAAGACCTAATCCAGGTTACTTAAAACCAATAACAAAAAAATAATGCACATTTATTTTGAGTACTGTGTTTTACTTTACGAAATTAATTAAAAAGAAGTTTAAAAACATTTTATGCAGAGTGCTTTTAGAAATGGACAAATAAAATGCCTATAGTTACATGAATTCCATGTATAACTTTTGTCATGTTAAAGTTGAAACTGCATAAATACTAACTTAACCACAAAAAAAAATAACCATAAAGTTCTGTAGCTTTTTCAAAATTTAGTCTAACAAAACTGTCATTTTAGTAACAAAAATGTTGGCTTTAGTGTTGCTTTGAAACCACATGTAAGAAAGGCACACCAAGACAGAAGAAAGCTTTATGGTACATTTTGTAGTATACTATTCTAACGTACATATTAATTTTGGTAGCCCTAGCCATACCTTCTCTAATTGAAAACATTATGGTCATTTTCCATTTAGTATAGAGACACCCTGCCTCTAAGCAGCACCTAGTCAAGCAGATCCAGCTTAAATAGTTAATCATCCAGAGCTTAAAATACAATATTTGTTTAAAATGTCTTCAGTCCTGGGAACTTCACAATCTAATTTTAATGCTCAGAGAAATTACAGTTGCTTTGCTGTGGGGTATGTTTTATCTGGCCAGTTTACAAGTGTTGCCTCCATTCATTCAATTTGTATTTTTGCAGAACATAACTTGCAATGAGCTGTGCTCTATTATTTCTTACATAATCCCAGAACATGCTCTTTTGAGACATACAGGGAAAAGCAACAGCTTGCTGTTTACTACAGTAAATACACAGGAAATCTCTTTGCACACTCTCTATGTACACTTCATGAGTGCACATCATCAACTACAAAAACTAAAAAACAATGGTTCTTTACCAGTAAACTGTTTCTTTTACAGTGGTGCCAGTACAATAGCCTGTACAACCCCAAATGTAAGATATGTTTCTGTCCAGTGAGACTTTCAGAGTCTAAGGGGTGAACTAAAAACCTACAGAAGCTGCTGTTAAATCACTTAATATCAGAGCTTGGTCACATAGGAGGGAGAGGATTACAGCTTTGTCTAATTTGCTCATAGAAACAAACAGGGTGACACCAGCAGAGACAGGACTTGAACTATAAAGTTCCCAGGAACAATGTTTTCCCACAGTCTTCTATAGGAGCCTAGGCTTTCATAACTCATTACCATCTTTACTGCGGCATCATACCTTAGGGTTTGTAATAGGAACAGACACAAAGTAGTTTGGACGTTGATCTTTTCTCTGTTTCTTCTTTTCATCTGCATCCTCTTCACTCTCCCGTGCAATTTTTCTCTTTCGCTTTTTCTTCAGTCCCTTTTCTGAGGAGGTGACTAAGGCAAATACAAAAATGAAGGGCGTTAATTAAGTGATATGATAAGTTAAAAAATACATTCTTAAAAGGTAATGCTTATTATCCATTTCTAATTTATTAATGCCAGATCAATCGCCAAAGTAACAACCTCACCTACTTAAGAAAAACTACAGTACAAGGCAAAGCGACAATTTTCTCCAAATGTTTTGCAGGGAGAAGCAGTGGAATAACACACACATTTCCTCAGAAAGAAAAAGGCACCACTGAAAGTTCATAAAAACGTATCATTACATGAAAAACATTGAGAGTGTTTAGGAGCACGTGTGTATTTTAAAAGGTCTACTCTAATGTGCACTCTGAGGCATTTTTACTTACAGTACATACTGCTCCACCCCCTTTCAAATAAACCACACAAACACATGCATTATGCACTTGCGCTGGGCAGCTGGAAGGAATTTCAACTTGACAACAGCTGTGGTGCTAGGAAGTTCCTTGCCACTTTCACCGGGCAACTGAACATAATCCCTCATTACAAGCCATGCTGACAGCGCTCCTTCAGATTGCACGATAAAGAGTTTGTTGGTGAGAACTGTCAAGTGTCTAGTAGACCGCAATAAAACGCTCGCCTTCTCCCGGATCTAATCGGATTTGCCAGTTTTCAAAACACGCTCTTCTCAATTAAGGTAAGATCGAAATTAAAAAAAAAAGTGTAAATGTAAAATCGGTCTTAGAATTGACCCTAATCAAAACAATGAAGTTTAAATACACACAACTGATGGAACATCTTAAATGGAGTCAATGTGTTAAAAGGTTTGACCTTCATTGCCGACTTCTGGGATATATGTTTCTTTTTCTTCAGCTAACGTGCCTGCCCCCTGAATACCGGGCAGTCCACGCTGCAGATCAAATAGCCCACTTACTGCCAAACTCCTTGCTTATTTCTGTGTTGGCAAAGGGAAGTTCAGCCAACAGAGTGTTCGAGCAATCAGAGGCCTTTGCTTTCTGCTTCCTGCCTTTTATTTTGGGTCTTTTCCTCTTCTTTTTCTCCTTCTGCACATTTTCATTTTCTGAAAAGCCAAGATATTGACATTAGAAGACAGGGGACAGTTCGGAAAAAAGTTTTAGTTTGAAAATGAAATGTCCGCTTCAGTCCAACAGAGTGCTGGGCTGAGGATACAATCTTGCGGTTTTTTTCCCCCACATGCAATAGGAGTCTGTGAAATTCTTGGTACTCTTTTACCCCAGTAAGACCATCAATTAAAAAAAGGCTACAAAATTATTCATCTTTTCAAATGGCATGAAATTTGTATTATAAACCCATTTTATTACAGCCTTAACAACCACCTTTATTTTATGTAGTTCAGGTGGGTAGCTGCGTCAGCATGCGAAGGCTGCATGCTCAGGTGAGCCACACACCTGAAGAAGGCTCCAAGCCGAAACATTCTGTTTTCCTTCTCTCTTTTCAGCATGGAATAAACCTATTATTGTTCCATTCTTTTATATATCACCTTTCGTGGTACATCAGCTGAGACACTGTGACATTGATCCATCTAATGAAGCATCTCATAACTTGATGGACGGCAAGAAAAACATTTATTTTATAAATATATCAAAAATGTATTTTACTTGTTTAATTAGAAGCTACATAGCTAGTCTTTCAAAGAAAAAATGTATATGTTCATGTCTTTCCGTACAAGTGTATAATAGATAAAAGTTTTTTTTAACCATTTGATAAAATCTGCATTATTAGTGCCATAATCTATTATCGTAATGTCGGATATGGACAGTCTCGATGCTGAGACTTCTGAAAGCAAACTTCAGATTCCGCCTCTTACAGCAGAGCAAACAAGCAAATCCCCGCGCATCACAGTAATGAAAGGAAATGCAGTTTAATGTGTTAGCCACATTTTCGCACACTGTACGCTATAATCAGAAAAAACAGCCAACATTCATTTGGGTACAGCTCATTAAAACGTACTTCTGTTACTGTTTTTTTTTCTTTAAACAGGGATGATAAATTCAGATAGCGAAGCAAAAGGGAGTATACATGTTATATATTCAGATAAGTCTGTTATAGAATCCAAAAGTTTGCTAGTATACTGTAAATCTGTGATCTTAGTCCATGCAAATAAGTGATAGGAAACACTTTTGACAGGGAAGTTATACGAGAAAAAAAAGTACATTACATTAAAACAGACTACTAGTGTTGTCAAAAACGTCTAAAAAAACTCGCCTTCCACCTTGACTTACCCGAAAAGCATTTTTTCTCTGCAGTTTCCAGAGCTCCTGTTGTTATCTTCGCGTCGTGCTGCAACAGGTCCTCCGCAGGGTGCAGGTCCAACAGCACACCTGGGATGGCAGACAGCACCAAGTCCGTTTTGTCATCTTCCATGCCAGCCACCAGGTCGACAGCATGTAAAACCCGAGTCTGGGAGACAGCCAAGGGTTGTAGGTTATGGAGGGCTGCCTGTGTCTGAGGCAACCAGTGGACAAGCCGTGTTGAATTTCGCGAAGCTGCTGGTTCATGAAGTTCAGAGTTTGCAAAAGCGCCGCATCCCCGTAAAACTTTTTTTAAGAGGGGCACGTCGGCATCGCTCTCGCACCTTACTGGGGTTTCTTCTGTTCCACCGAAAACACAGAAAGATAAGAAAGAGCCATTTGTGTTGCGAATAGGTCTCTGATCGTGGCGCTGGCTCAACAACCTGCCACAATACGGCGAGTCTGCAACTTGGATACTTTGTTTATTCGGTCCTACCAAACGTGCATGTCCAAACAAACCAACCTTACAACGCACCGGGACGAAACTGAAACGAGGCAAATGAGCAACCCCCAGTCTCAAATGGTGCATTGATTATCTGTATCGTGCCTCAAAGCGAAAATAACATATTCAGTGGGCGTTAGAAACACTTCTTTATCCAGCGACGGACACATTAGTATTTGCCTTCTCTTTCCTAGGTCGGTAATTCAATAAAGCAAGCTCTGTAAATGGGACACTTCAGCTGGGGTTGAAAAAAAGTAAAAGCAAACGTCAGCTGCAAAGTTAACCAACACTTTGCTGGTGGCCGAGAAACGCGTTGCTCTGGAGCTTGTAGCCCCATAGGTACGGATACTCCACTGGCTCAAAAGGGCTCGATCGCGTTAGTTTGCGAAGGTCTAATTTTGTCAACTACTTCACGGAGATGCATCACGCATCTTTTTAGTATTAATTCAAATTCAAATATGGTGAGTCTGCTACCGAAACAATCAAATATTTTTAAAAATATGAACAGCCCTACAATTTAATTGAAAAACAAGCTGTACAAAATAGCTGTGTCTAGAAAATATCTTTACGGTAGGTCTGAAAGGTAACCATCAGTTTTAAGGAAACAACTGCAAACAATTAAGCAGATGATAAAGTTAATTACATACAAAGGTCACTTGAAACACAAATCTGGATAGTTTTGGTGATCGAGGACCAGGTTCCTTGGTTGAACAAATAATATGATGCACTGAGTTTTTCCAGGTTTCTCAGTCATTTGAAAATTAAGGCAAACTTTAAGCTTCCTAAACTGGTGCATCTCAGTACTAGGGTTAAAGATGCCTTGTTTAATATGCACTATAATTTCTCCAGAGCAGGAGTGAGTACACATTACTGGTCTTTGACCTACAAGGCTACACAGCAGAACTACCAAATGAGGTCTAAACAAATGAAATAAATAATAATCATAACTATTACATAGTGCTTCTCTGGACACTCCACTCAAAGTGATTAACAGGTCATGGGGATCCCCTCCACCACCAGTGTGCAGCCCCACCTGGATGATGCAACGGCAGCCATAGTGCGCCAGAACACTCCCCACACATCAGCTATCAGTGGGGAGGAGACCAGAGTGATGAAGCCAGTTCATAGATGGGTATTGTTAGGAGGCCATGATTGGTAAGGGCCAATGGGAAATTTGGCCAGAACAGCAGGGTAATACCCCTACTCTTTTTGAGACATGCCCTGGGATTTTAATGACCACAGAGAGTTAGGACCTCGGTTTTACATCTCATCTGAAGGATTTTACAGTATAGTGTCCCCATCACTATACTGGGGCACTAGAACCCACACAGACTGCAGGGTGAGTGCCCCCTCCTGGCCCCTCTGATACATCTTTCAGCAGCAGCCTTAGTTTTCCCAGGAGGTCTCCCATCCATCTGCTTAGCTTCAGTAGGTTGCCAAATTTAAGTGAGTTACAAACGAGAGGAAGCCATTTGGCCAATTCAGCCTGTTTGGCAATGAGTAGCGAACTGATTGAAGCATCTCATCCAGTGATTGCTTGAAGGGAGACAAGGTACTCGCTTTAGCAACATGTCTAGGTTGATTGTCCCATACTCCTACAACCCTTTGTGTAAAGAAGAGCCTCCTGTTCATGGGGTTAAATGTACTTTTACATTAATTCCACTTGTGTCCCATGGTTAATAATTTAATGTTCATTGTGATGAAGTCTTTTGAGTTGGATTTGCGAATGCTTTTTAGGAATTTTAATAATTATAATCTTCTCTGTTCAAGACTAAAAAAGTGCAGTTTCTTCAGCCTGTCAGTGCAGGAAATTCCCTAAATTCCAGGACTGTATCAGGTTTCTCCTGGACTCATTCTAGGGCAGTACTCAATATTCTAGATGAGGTCTTACTAATCTTACTATGTGTTTTCCATTTTAACATAACATTCCTTAATTAAAATAATACTAGTTTTAATTTTGTGTTCTAATATTTTGTTTGCCTTTACAATTTCTTTCCCATATTTTCTAGAATATGTCAATTATTTGTCAACATAACACCTACGTCTGTTTCATAAATAGCCCCTTCTGTCTCAGTGTTTCCCACTTGGTATTTATAGTTTGTGTTTATGCAAACCCCTGCACTTGTCTGCATTAAGCTCCATCTGCCAATGTTTGCCCAGTCTTGAATTTTATCTAAATCCCTGTGGATTTTATGAGCTGCTTCTACAGTATTTACTTACTTGGTATTATCTGCAAACCTTGTACATAACAGAAGTCAGACCTATTGCTCTGTAATTACTGTGTTCAGTTTTCTCATACTTCATGTGGCTATGCAGTACATGAGCAATTCTCTAGTGCGTGAGTACTACCCTGTCTTGAGCAGCCTCTTGTTTCCTTAAGTACAATCGGAAAGACACTATTGGGTCGTTAACCAATTAATCAATACAGGGTAAAAACTGAATGTTAGTTTAGTCAGTTATTCCATCTTTTAGATCCCTTTTAGTTTATTTACTTACATATACAGTGTATTAACATTTTTCCAACTGGATATTGGGGCAGTTACCACACAAGTAGTACTGGCTGTTGGAGTTCAGGATACTCCACCAGGATACTCCACCTGTCACTCAAGCTGCAGATGTCTGGTTTAAACGCTATTTTTGAAGTAGTAAATATATGGTATACTAAATGCAGGGAGATGTATTTTGGACATTAGAAACTGCAGTGCAGTAAATAAACTCTTACTCACATAGAAAATGCTTGTCACCTGGCATTTTTCTTTCCGTCTTTGTTCTCCCTCTTAGTATTAGTTGTGCCGTTTCCCTACAGTAGCCGCTTAAATACTGTCATCCTCCCTGCGAACAATCAACAGCTTTTCATCTTCTCCTGTGACACTGACTTACAAACTAATCTAACCGTCTTCTCTCAGTCAGAACAAAAGGTTGATCATGTTTGTTTAAAGGTAAACAAAGGCAAATTATTGGCCACAATATCTGCTCTCTAGCAAACAAAGCCTTACTCAAGTAGAAAATGAACACACCTATCATAACACATCTACATTATATGTAACTCATTCTTTTTTGTAACTGAAATGCACAGACAGATCAGTTAATACATAAGAACATAAGGGAGAGATAAACAAAGTAATTTGGCACATGAGCAGCCATTTCTTGAGATAAGAGATACTGTAGTATCCGCTTCCAATAGCATGGCTGGTTATAAATTAATCTAAATACCATGTCTTTGGACTGTAGGAGGAAATCAGAGCACATGGCAGAAACGTACTCTACACAGCCTCCAGGAGAACACGCAGACTCCACACTGAAAGCACCCAAGGCCAGAATCAAACCCAGGACCCAAGACCCGTGAAGAAGAAGCAAAAGCCAACATGCCAGGGTGCTTGAATCAGTTTGCTGTGTCATTTATTTCTTATGTTTTAATGCAAATTAAACAGATTTGACTTGCTCAGAGACTCAATCACTCTGGCATTGTAGGTTTCTAGAGAGACGTCAGGGTATGAGCTTCACCAACACGACGGAGTAACTTGTTCCAGACTCCCACAACCCTTAAAGAAAAGAAGTGCCTTGTGTTCTTGTTTTTAAATTCACTTCCACGTCCATTCCACTTGTGTCTTCTGGTTTGTTCTACAAAACATTCCACCAAACAGCCTCCTTTCACAGTATCCCTGTACATTCTGGGAAATTAATGGCATGTCAAATTAAAGTTTTGAAAGCTAGTACGTTGTAATGTTCTATCACCTCCACAGGGCTATAAAAGAAGGTGTACACGAGGCCTGTCTTTTCTCTTGGGGTGATTGTATAGAGATTTGTCTGTGCAGATTTCTTTAACTGGTAATCACAGGTCAGCGTTTGGTGCTTTACAGGTTAGAGAGTGATCACACAGGAGAGGAGAGTTCAGGGCAGGTTTAATTTGAGCTGACAGGCTGACCCCCAGCTTGGGCAGGCTTACGTAATGGTAAATGAGGGGTGCCCAGGTTAGTTTGCCAGGGATTGCTGAAGCTAGTATGCTGTTAGAATGGTCCAGTCTGTAAATAAGAACTCAAAGGAGTCATGATTGCAAGACATCTTTTGCAAGTAATCATTAGAACATTTCCTTCCAACTGGTGGAGGACATGCATCAGTGTTTTGTTTTTAAATATTATATCAGTGTGAACATAGTTACCATGTCACTGTGCCATTGGGCTCTCTTCAGCACATGCCTCAGATCTCCAGGTCAGGCAGTTCTGTTATTCCTCAGAACCGAGCTCGCAGAGCAGGAGAGTGCTGTGTGAATGTTCATCGGGGCCTCGGAACATCAAAAGACGGATCTCTTACTCTCTGATATGATATTATTAAATGAAACTGTTAAACTGTACTGGAGGAGGAACTATGTAGTCAGTGAATGGTTGGCTCTCCTTTCATTTGTGCAACAACTTGTATTTAAGTAATTAGTGGTTATGTATAATTATCTGGTAATTTGCATGCTAGTGTCTGGTGTTTCCATTTTGCCGAATACTTTTTTTTTCATTCCAGATCAGAAGAAACAAGCCTGAGATCGGTTTGGTTTACAAGATTTACTGATCAGCCTAATCTGTTTTTAAGTTTCTGGTGTATTCAAAATTGTTTAATGGAATTTAGGTTACTAAGTGGGTTAAAGACTATAGTTACTGTATATATCTAAGTATTAACCGCCACCGTTTATTTAATAAAATGTGATTCTTATGTGCTGAGATATTTCAGAAGAATAATATAATTTCAACCTATATGTTAATAGTGCACAACAATAAACCTGTACGACATATTGTGTGAAATGCCTGTAGAAAAAAATATTATTAACAGAGCTTACATCTGTTTGTTCTCTTTAATAGCTCCTGACTATCAAATGACAAACATCCATACATATGGGTGCTGTGTGTTTACAAGTGCAAAGGTGGTGTTTGCCTGCTGTAATTGCACTGTCTTGGCTCAGTGAAAGAGTGATAATGCTGCTGAACGGAACATCACATAGCGAAGAAGTCTGGTATTTTGTGTTAATTTATCCTAGACTCCAGCAGCATAACTACACAACTGACAGGAAGCAGAGTAGCCTAGTCCAGTAATTAAAATGTCATGACCCAGCAACACCTATGGCAAACACACTGGATACTGACAGAGGACACTACCTTTGGATGAATTCTTCTTCTGAGTTCAGAAAAGACAGTGCCAGCATGAGATTGTCTGTTCCCAATCCCCACTCTACATCTGGATCCTTAATCAGTCGAGAATCTATGATATAGGTTGAGTAAACCCCAAACAGTGGTGAGTATCACTGGTGATCTCTGCAGAGCCTATGCCATACCACTCACATGCTTGTCTTTGAGCTGGTGATGGACACACCAGTATCGGTTATTTCCATTGTGGTATTTGGCTTGAATACAGTATGTGACTGTACCACCTGACATTTTCAGATGAACAAAGAAACTTGTTTATTCCCTCTAGTCCATCCATTTTCTAACCACTTTATGCTGCACAGAGTCGCAGGGGAGCCAGAGCCTTTCCTAGTAAGCAACAGGCGCAAGGCAGGGCACACTCTGGGCAGGACGCTAGCCCGTCACAGGGCACACACAGACATGAACGTGCACACACTCACAAGTTTCCCAGAAGCCAATTAACCTACGAGCATGGCTTTGTGGTGGGAAACCCACACAAACACAGGGAGAACATGCAAACTCCACACAGACAGCACCCCAGGAATTGAACCCAGGGTCCCAGAGCAGTGAGGTAGCAGTGCTGACCACTGCGCCACCCATGTCACCCTACTGTTTATCTTAAATCTAAGGCTTCTCTTTTCAATGTGCTCCTTAAAATGTGCTATGCAATATTTGTCTGTAAAAAGGAAAATATTTGCACATTGTAATTCCTCCCCGTAGAAAGCAAACACATACTGCACAATACACTTTTTGTACAGGGCATCACTAATTTAAATATAATTAGTGAATAAATGAATATAATTATGTGAAATCAAATATCATTATATCAGATATCAAATATCAGGCTTGGAGAGATTACTTATCTGAATATAAGGTTACTATAGCGTCTACTAGACCTACTTCTCTCACATCATTGAAAATCACCAAAACAACCCCAGACATCTTTTCTCCAATCCAACAGATTGCTCAAGCCAAACTGCCCCACCACATTACCTGCCTCATCACAACTCTGCAACACATTCTTAGATTTCTTTAGTTTTAAGATTGACAACATCTGGCATCACATTCTCTCCACTACGCATATCATTTCCATACCTCCTCCCTCCTCATCCAACGTCTCTGGTTCCCTTCTCTCCAGCTTCTCTCTTCTTGACTCAGCATCCCTCAATAAACTAGTCACACACATGAAACCCACCACATCTATTTTAGATCCCATTCCCACCACTTTATTTCAGTCCTGTTTCTCTTCTCTGTCCCATTGTCTTCAATATTATACATGAATTCATGAGCACTGGCATTGTACCAATGGTCCTCAAAACTGCTGCTTCTGTCAACTTCACAGCACAGAAACTGCCCTGGTCAAAGTCACCAACAATCTTCTAATAGCTTCTGATTCTGGTTCTCTTTCTATACTCATCCTTATTGATCTCAGTGCTGCTTTTGACACTGTTGACCATAACATCTTACTTTCTCGTCTTGAGACTGTGTTTGGAGTTTCTGACAGTGCTCTCAAATGGTTCAAATCTTACCTCACTGATCGCTGTCACTTTGTCTCTCTTAATGGGTACAGGTCTGAAATCGGTCTCGTTAAGTCTGGTGTTCCTCAGGGCTCAATACTGGGCCCCTTGTTTTCAGCATTTACATGTTCCCACTTGGTCAGCTTTTAAGATCACATTGCCTCAGCTTTCATTTCTACGCTGATGATACTCAAATATACATCCATACCAAACCTGACACTGATGTGGATGTCTCTATTCTATCTAATTGCATCTCTGACATAAAAATTTGAATGATTCAAAACTTCCTTCATCTTAACTGCGACAAGACTGGAGTCATGCTTATTGGCACCCCCATCAACTTCGTAAAGCCAGTCCTGTAACCCTCTCTGTAGATGGTTTTGTACTTGATGATGATGATGTTATCCGGTCAGTCGGATCCGACTCTCTGCGATTCTATAGGCCATCTCTTGCCACGCTTTCCGGTCTTGGACTTTCCCTTTCAGCTGTTCTATGCCTAAGCCAGTGTCTGTTTTGATGGCGTCGAGCCACCGTGTTCTTTGGCGGCCTCGTCTTCTTGTTCCACTGACCATTCCAAGCATCATTGCTTTCTCCACTGAATCTGATCGCATCACGTGACCAAAATAAGTGAGCCAGAGTCTGGTGATCTTTCCCTCAAGCGAAATTTCTTGCTTGATGCGCTCCAGAACCTCTTTATTGGTGACCCTTGCTGTCCATAGTATCCGTAACAGTCTTCTCCAGCACCATAGCTTGAAAGCATCCATCCTCTTTTGGTCAACTTTTTTCAGTGTACAGCTTTCACACACATACATTGATATGAGGAACACAATAGCATGGACCATTTTGCATTTGGTTGTGAGGCTGATGTCTTTGCTCTTCCAGATTTGGTGCATGCTCAGCATCGCACTACTGCCTAACGCAATTTGTCGCCTGATTTCAGGGCCGCAGTCTCCAGTTCGGTCGATCATGGATCCCAGGAAGCAGAAAACCTTGACTCATTCGATCTCTTCTTTATTGATGGTTATTTTGACTGCTCCATTTCCAGCTGTTGTCATGATCTTCGTCTTTTTGATGTTGAGTTGGAGACCCATCTTTTCACTTTCCTTTTTGATTCTTAAAATGAGGTATTTCAGGCCATCCTCCGTTTCCGCCAGTAATGTTGTACCAGCTTCAGTCAAAATTGAAAAACCTTGGGGTTATATTCGATTCTGGCTTAACATTTGACCCACATGTTCAGCATACTGTCAAAATATCTTTTTTTCACCTCAGAAATATCGCTAGACTACACCTTATGCTATCACTAACTGTGGCTGAAAAGCTAATCAACACATTTGTATTCTCTCGAATTTACTGCTGTAATGCTCTACTTGCTGGGGTATCTAAATCTACTCTGAACTAACTGCAGTATGTCCAAAATTCAGCAGCCAGAATCCTGACCAGGTCTAGGGCAAGTGTTCACATTACTCCTATCATGGAGTTCTTGCACTGGCTTCCGGTCAAATTCTGTGTAGACTTTAAAATCCTCATGCTCACCTACAAGGCTCTGCATGGCTTGGCATCTCAGCACCTGTCTGAACTATTATCGCCCTACCCCCCACCTCTCAACCTCAGCTCTTCTAATTCTGCTCTCCTTACTGTCCCCCAAGTCCATCTACACTCTATGGGTGACAGGGCCTTCTCCTGTTATGCTTCCAAGCTCTGGAACTTTCTGCCCAAGGATATCAGAGAGTCACCTTCTCTAAACTCAAATCCAGATTCAAAACCTTCTTCTTTAGGAGAGGCTTTACTTAACTGGTTCCATTCTTCACCCCTCTGCTTTTCTTAGTATCACCATCCACAGTCTCCTCTATATATTGTAATTGTGTTTTATCTTGTGTATTCTTCTTTTTATTGTTTGCTGTCATCCTGTAAAGCGCTTTGAGAAGCCACCTTTAAAAGTGCTATATAAAATAAAGTCTATTATTATTATTATTATTATTATCATTCAATTTCTATAATTTCTTTAGACTAGAACTTTTAAACATCAAAGATAAATGAGCAGCAGCTATAATATGATGCACAATGTGTAGTTATAACTACAATATAACAATTTCTGTAAAAGAGAAGAAACTGATCAAGGTTCACAAATATTCCAACTAAAGCTTTGATGATGCATTTACATGCTCTTTGTAGATGTAGTTAGTACTTACATACACACCCTACTTTAACATACTTTGGGATGCTAGAATCAACAGCTGTTATCTTCATACAGTAATTGCTGTTATTGTTTTGTTTCTCCAAATAATGACAAATTCAAAGGGCAGAAAAAGATCCCAGAGTAACAACAGTAAGCATAAAAAAAATATATAATTCCAAATGAAAAAAAGTTAATAAAGTACTGTAAACCCTCTAGTGGCCTAGTGGCTGAGTCACAGATGAGCATGTGTCAAGCCTTGTCAATCAAGCTCTTAGATAGGCGGAGTGGTGGCTCTGTGGCTAAGGATCTGCAGCTGTAGCTGGAAGGCTGCTGGTTCAAATCCTGTAGCCGGCAGAGGAAGCCTACTCCATTGGGCCCCTGAGCAAGGCCCTTAACCCCAGCTGCTCCAGGGGTGCTGTACAATGGCTGACCCTGCGCTCTGACCCCAAGCTTCTCCCTGTCCGTGTGTCTCATGCAGAGCAAGCTGGGGTATGCGAAAAGACGAATTCCTATTGCAAGAAATTGTATAAGGCTAATAAAGTGATGTTATGTTACTAATTTGTTTGAGTCCCCTTGTGCAGGATAAAATAAAGCGGCTTGTTCTACACCTCTCTTCAAATAACACCTCTATTGTCTGTGGAAAAGGAACTCAAATATTTGCTTCTGCCTCCACCTTTCACGCCTTTGTTTGTGTGTTGTAATCTCATACCCTGGTATTGGTTTGCAGCACAAAGGAAACCACCCCGTTCTCATGAGCTACAGATGTAAGAGCAGGACCAGTTTTGCAAACCAATTTGCTGAATGGAGCAGAAAGGGACGCTGTTCTCAGGAAGAGTTTTCACACCTAAGCTCAGGTATTTCACCTCCACCTTTCATCTTAATACTGTGGAACAACTGTAAAGCTTACCGGTGAGAATTTAAACCTCTTACATTAATTACTTCTCTGCATGTGATAATGGCACAGGGATCACATTACAGTGGTTTGTTTATCAATTTTTTTTTAGCACGTAATATTTCTTCTCATCCTAATTAGCTTTTGGGACAAAAGTAATTATTTTACTTCAGTCTTGTCTTATCACTAAAGATAACCTCTTCAGGATTTGCTTGAAGGCTTTAATGTGATTATCTTTAAATATATTCTTTTAAATGTTCTTTAAATGTTTAAAATGTTCATTTTAAAATGTTCTTTTCCCCCCATCGTTTTGTTGGCAAAAATGAAACCCAAAATATTTCAGTTTTTTACTTTCATTTTTAACTGAAGAAATGACTAAATGATCAAACTCCTGATATATGCTTCATTTTTACTTTCATTAATGTGTTAAAAGATTCTTTTGTGAAACAGGTTTTGGGAAAAGTCATAGTTATGAATATTCTGGTGAAGTTCCATGTTCTGGCGAAACAGCAGCTACAGAGACACTCGCAAGTGTGAATCTGTGGGTGCCAAGTGCCACAGGGTCCGACATCAGTTTTCATTCCAACCTCTTAACTACCTAATTGAACTTGTTATTCCGGGTCTCCCAGGTCCTAAGCTGTTAATGGTGTACAGAGACCTATAAAAACATTGCAATGCATCACCTGAGAAACATGGTTGGGCACTGTTTCATTTCTCATTTTCCGTGCTAACTGCAAATAACACAGAAGTTGTTTACCAGGAAATGCATTTGTCCTGAACAATTGATTGTTCTGTCATTTGAATGCAACAAAACACTTACCTATTACAGTATATTGCTTTATAATTTTAAGAAAATATGAATACCTTGCACACATACCCTGCTAATATTCATCAAGGCTATGCAGGTATGTATCGTTAAATTTTTTATTTTTTAAATGTACATGTTCTATCTGAAATAAATTGTATTATTGTTTATTATTAGTAAAGGCTTATATAAAAGGTATAAGTTAGACATTTCACATGCAAGGTTGCCTGAATAAGGAAGGAACAGCAGAGGCCAGTGCTTCTGAAGCTGAGGTGAAGAGACAGCAACGTCATAACATTATAGTTTCTTTGCTGTTCTCTTTCCTTGTTTATTCTTATCTTTTCATGGGAGCCTTTAAAGAATGTAGAAAATTATATTTAAATAAATCAAACATTTTCCAGATAAAAAGATTTACAATGGTGGAGAAAACAAAATTAAAAAAAGTGGTCTTGCACATGAAAAATTTGAAGACAGCAATATTTCTACTTGATGATTTCCATCAACCACTTCCAATAGAAGAAATTTACATACGTACACTTTCTACATAAGAAGTAGAATCTATTGTTTGTGAGTACGACCAGTGTAACACCAATAGTCTCTAATGTGACCTATCTGTACTACTTTATTTATCTCTTCTGCTTTATAAAAAGGTAGGATACAGCAAATATAGAAATTGCTAATAAAAGTATGTAATATAACATTACTGTGTAAACTGTTAAAGACCTTTTTAACAAAATAATAAGTACCCTTTTGTTATTAGCTTTGAATGTGTCATATTTGATTCAGATGCAAACGATACAAAGATAACTGTGTCACCAGAGAGGATTGCGGTTCACCTCAGTTTACATACGTTTCAAACTGAACTACACAGAGCAGATTTTCCAGTATCACAGTAAAGAACCATCTTTTAGGGAAGGGAATTCTGACAATGGGGAAGCAATAGAAAAGACAAAAATAGAAAGATACAGTATATAGTTAAAAATGCAGAATCTAAATCTAAGATGTTATGTTAGAATTGTACAATGCACTAGTAAGACTTCATTTAGAATATTGTTTACCGTTTTGGTCACCATGTTGCAAAAAAAATACTGCAGCTCTGGAATCAGTCCAGAGAAAGGCAACCAGATATATTCTGGGGCTGAAGGGATTGTCCTACAGGAACTGAACCTTTTTATTATTGAACAGAGAAGATTATAGTGGGACCTGATACAGCTATTCACAATCCTCAAAAGCAGTGAGAAGGTCAACCTGGCGAACTTCTTCAAAAGAAATGGTGAAACACGAACCAGAGAACTTAAGGATATCAGTCTTATGGACATTTTATGCATTTAAAACCAAAACCAGGAGGCACCTCTTTACACAAAGAGTTTTGGGAGTATGCACAGTCATGTTGTTGAAGCTGATTCCCTGGCTTCTTCGTATTCTTACGTTTGGGTGTTCCATTTTGTTAGAGATTATACATTTTAAAAATAATGTTATATTCTTTCTCATTGGCTCAAAATAGCCCAATGGTTTTGCACGTATTTGAGCTTTAGCCCCACCAAGAAAGCTTACTGAAACAAAGGCAAAATACAGAACATTCAGTAAAGTGCAGTAAAAACAAAAACAGAAAAATGTACAACATAATAGAGCCAGGTAATGCCAGGCAAAGAAAAACATGAATTAAAGTCAAGGTCAAGTACTGTAAATGTGGTCTTGGGACATACACTGTGGGTTCAAGCCCAGACTGGGCACTGGTGTTGTATCCTTGAGTGGATTGCTCCAGTAATACAATATACCCAGCAGTAAAAAACTTGTGAAAATGTCACCAAATAAATTAGCAATATAAGATAAGATCACATTATTAGTTTTATACAACTTCTTGCATTAGGAATTTGTCTTTTTCACATACCCCCGCTTGGTCTCCATGAGACACACAGAGAGAAGCCTGGGGTCAGAGCGCAGGGTCAGCCATTGTACAGCACCCCTGGAGCAGCTGGGGTTAAGGGCCTTGCTCAGGGGCCCAATGGAGTAGGATTCCTCTGCTGGCTACAGGATTTGAACCAGTAGCCTTCCAGCTACAGCTGCAGGTCCTTAGCCACAGAGCCACCACTCCGCCTATCTAAGAGCTTGATTGACAAGGCTTGACACATGCTCATCTGTGACTCAGCCACTAGGTTGAAGTTAAAAGGGTCTAACAGTGCAGGAGTCGGTCATGGCTGTCTCATCCTCCTCCGCAGCCAGAACCATCTTTTCACTGGTCAGGTTATTTAAAGGACGCCAATGTATGGTGCTTCTACAGATAAATGTTACAGTCTCCTTTGTACACTCTGTTCAAATACAAAGAGGTGCCATTTATACTATTGATGTCTGGCGCCTATACCCTGTCTTAATAACAGTGTCTCTTAATATACCTGTTTTATCCTGTTTGATATCAGCAGGCCAGATGGTGGATTGTTATAATTCTTTTTACTAATCTTTTTAGAAATCTGTGCCGCCGTGGTCTGCGATTTCATTAGAAACAGCATCAGATAGTAGCAGAGAGAGAAACTTTGTACTCTGGTAACATCATTGAGAATAACATTCTAGTCAAAGAGCATCAGTATTTTGTGGAATGTATATTTACAGAACTCATTTTCTTTATAGGTTAATTTTCTTTTTTTCAAGTTTGAGGGTACTTTGAATCTCATATCTACAACTACATCATAAATGTTAATCTTGAAAAACATGTTTTCAGCAACTGAACATTCAGTATGCGCTAATTCTTTCTATTTCTTCTTTTTTGTTTGTTTGTTTTAAATCTAAACTCTGGATGGACTGAATGATGAAAATCACTTCTGGAACATGGGGCACCTGTGTCTGGTGAGTTGTATCATACCTTTGAAAAGTTCTGATTGTTTAACATTCTATTTTTCTTTTAATTAATATTTTTTATGAATGCATCCATGAAATTTTTTTCTTTTATTAGAACAACAGAAAGATACAGAGTTTAATTTAACACAAATCAATAGAGATGTTGGGTTATATCTTAGATATAGAGCATAGTATATGATATACAGTATAATATAAACGTTTTGGAAGTAATTTATTTTACATTCATACATTATTTTGGTCAGATAATACCAATCATTATATTTTTTCTATGTAGCCATAATAATGCAGATTTTTATCAAGAAAATTAAATGTTTTAGTGCAAAAGGTTGAATTAATCTCAAAATGAATATATTGTACAAGTACCACAGTAACAATATTGTAGATTATACTATTTACTGTATCTGCCTCACATTACTTTCAGTTTTAATGTTTTGTGCTGGTATTTTCTGAGAAGTTAAGTTTATTCATGTAAATATGAGGTGAATTCATGCATATTTTGCAACTGTACTGCCACAGTATCATACAGATTTTCAAAATTGTTATTTAATTGCTGAAATCACATTATTTTGTTTTTGTTTTATTGAGGATATCACAAATATATGCAGTCTACAGTTGTATGTTAGCAAACTTTCTGCTTTTTAAAAATATAACAGCAATGGCAGAATTATTCTTGTTCATGAGATTATGCATGGGACCGGTTTTTTTTTGTCTTCGTTAATGTCAATCTAGAGCAGTAGTTAAAGTTACGGCCGAGATTCCTAACCCTTGGCTGTAGGTTCAGGCGGCTGTTGCAGACGCTGTTCTTGTATGATTCTCCCTGAGCTCTGGAAATTGATACTAGAATTGCTGGAGAAGCCCTGCGATGGCTGGAGGAGATTCACTGTACAGTATCTCTACCTGGGAAGCTCTGTCCTGATAGGCCAATAGGTTCCAATAAAGACTGCGTGTGAGCTGAAATAACTATTCATTTAGGTTGGGTCCAGACGCGAATGTTGTTTGCCGAAAGTGCAAATAGCATCTTTCTCGTGGCTTTTCCGAGCTGTCATTTCCAGCTGTGAATTTCCAATGAATGTTGAAAGAAAGACACGACGATTGACCTAAAATATAATCTGAGACAACCCATGCATAAATAATGAATAACGAGACCTTGTTCTCTTCTAAAGTGGTAATTGATAACCCTGCTATTGATCCGGTCTTTTTGATATGTAGCCTTGTAATCTGACAGTGATGTGCCAATGGTTGTTATTTGCACACAGATCTGCCCTAGAGGATGATTTTCAATTCAGTGTCCTCATATACAGTAA